GGATTGTGGCAAAGTTCAAGAACGTGCCTTATGCTGGCAAATTCCCATATAAACACCAGAGTTTATCTTCTCGCTACTAGAGAGGGGATCAAAAACCAAAGCATAGAGACTCTACCCACCATGGACTCTGGAAGTATATAATGACCTATTGAAACAGTAAAAAGCCCCCCAAGACTCCAAATCCCTGAAAGCAATAAGAACATGACTCCAACAGTGAACTCCAAGGACTGTAAATGAGGGATCGGTACAAAGAGAAAGGGGGCTCCGAGGGAGTTAACTCTTTGGGAATGAGTGGCTTTGAAACACGCCATCTGGCAAAAACAAAGAAACAAAAACAAGTTCTGCAGCCCAGAATTTTCTTGTTGTAAGAGGTCCCAAGAAAATAATCAAACATTTTATTTTGCTTCAAAGCAGCTCTGAGGTACAATTTGTGGACTCTGTGGAAATCGAGTCCACTGCACACATCTCCCTGTAACACCCACTGGGTTATGCCTTAGAAATAAGCCATTCCCAGCAACAAGGAAGGTTATCAGTGGGCCCTTCTGATCCTTGGGTTCCACATCTGTGGATTCAACCAACTAGGAATCAAAAACATTTTTAAGAACCATGCATCTGCACTGAACATTCACAGACCTTTTTCTTTATCGTTATTCTTAAATAACATAGTATAGCAGTTAGTGACATAGTACTCATTTGGCACACGTTGTTGTAAGTAATCTATAGATGATATAAAGTAGGTGGGAGGGTTTCATAGGTTATGTGCAAAACTTACACCACTTTATGGAAAGGACTTGAGTATCCTTAGATTGTGGTCTTTGTGGGGTCTTGGAACTGACCTCCCAAGGATACTGAGGGACAACTCTAATTCCTATTGGAGTAATTCCTAGTGGCTCTGGTTTAATAGACTCCATTGATGGCCATCATTGTTGGGCTTAATTTTAAAGGCATTAGATGGATGAAATTAGGATTAAAAATTTCCTTTTCTTATAAATAACTTGATCTCCAAAACGTGTAATCTTATCACAATGACCTTAAAAAACCTTGGCAATTTTCTCCTAGACATCCATGTACGGCCTACTGGCTTCATTTCCACCCAGCTTCAGCCAAGGACTCCCTCAGCCCTACTGCGGCTCTTGTGCTCTTTAGAATTTTGACATTTAACCAAGTGGAAGAATGTGGAGAAACAAACGGAAATTTTAAAAAGGTTTAAGAAGTAGGTTTCCATAATGGTTCTGTTTAATCTGGTGACCCAGAGAAGCCACAGGTTCATGGGCAGCATTGGGATATG